TTTCTTTACAGGGGAGTAAATCCATTAGGAGCTTTGAAAGACGAAAGTTGAACCTTCTCTTCTTGAACAAGGTCAAATCCAATTCAAAGATGGAATAGAAAAAGATTGATTAATTCGACTGATGTAACTCGGTCTCACAATTCCATTGCCTGAACTACTGAAGGAACTCGGTAAATAGGCTTCTCTCCTTCATCTTCTTTGTTTACGAGGAGGTAAATAGAATAGATGGTTGATTGAACGAGGTAATTAATAAGGAAAGCCGAAAGCAAGACAAGATAAGATTCATTCTCCTTAACTCCCTCCTAGATTGAACAAGGTGAAGCTATTCCATTGCCTATTTATTCCAACACTCGGTAATGAGGAAGGAAAGACGAAACCTTAAACCTTTGACTCTATTCCCGGACCTGTTACCTTATTGATTAACCTTCCCTTCACCTTTGATGATATTCCCTATTTATTCCTTCAAACACAGTAAACAAAGACTCAACTAAAGATGAATTATCTTTTACAGTGAAAGAAGAAATTCAGGAGTTAGCAGCTTTGAAAGGCGAAACTCAAGTAAGATTCATTCGAGTTCAGACTCAACTCTCGATTCATTCGACTGAACTACTTGTTCCGTTATTGTGAGTTATTCTTTCACAGTAAACTCGGTAAACTCAATCAATCACTACTTACTCAACCGAAACCCTTTTCCTGAACCTATCCAACTCGGGTTTCACTATCTTTTCTCCTTCACCTTCTTGAACTGTAAACAAGGTGTGTCTCGAATCTTTTCTTTCCTTCTCACCTTTAAAGACTGGGTAAAGCATATTCTTTCTCCTTCACCTGTCCCTATTTCTTCTTTAGAAGACTGTAAACTAAGAGCAATACTCCTTCCTTATGAATGAGAGTGAACTGTCAGACTCAACCTCAAACCGGAACCGGAACCCAATCTTCTTCACCTATCCCTATTTCTTCTTTTTCTTCTCTTTCTCCTCTTGTGAGTTATTATTGAATAATCAACAAGGTAGGTGTGTCTCGAATCTGTTCTTTGTCTTTTTCTTTCACCTATCTATTTAACTGATTGAACTGTAAACAAGGAAGGAAATAAATCATTATGAAATCCTGAACAAGAACCGGGACAAAGAAGGGAGGGAGAGGAAAGAGACTGAACTACTAAACCTTCACCGGAGATAGAGTAGAGAAAGAAGGGAGATGACACATTAATCAGACTCAACCTATCCCACTAATAGCCTTTAAAGGGAGATAACACATTAATCAGACTTGACAGTTCTAGAAGGGATATTAAATGCTGAATTAGAAGCTTTTCCAGCCGAAAGCAAGAAAGTTGAACCTATCCTTTAACTATTTTCAAGAAAGAGTAAATTAATGAAGACGCTACTGAACCCGGAACCCTGACGAGAAAGAAGAAGAATCAGATATTCTATTCCTTTACAGGGGAGGAAATGAATGAAAGAAAGATCAGCTCCGGATTGTCTACTCTTCTCTTATGTGTGTGGCCATGGGCTTTCCCTTCTGTAAAGTCTATAATGATTATAAGGATCAAGTCTGGGCTAAGCACCGTCCCCCTCTTAGTTCAATTTTGCTCGAAAGAAATGGTAATCTGTCTTCCCTTCATTTTTCATTCACTTATATTCTCTTCTTCTTCAATTCCTTTCCATTAAGGTAGGTATAGACTAACTAAATCGAAATTCATCAAATATGAAGAAAATCGACCACTTATAGGACTGCGATAACATCCATAGGAAAGAGGCTACGTATGAGTTTATCAACGATAGGTATTACTTTCAATACGTATCTTTTCGTTACACTCATTCAGTCGAGCTGCTTTCGCTCCTCGAAAGGAAGTCAACATTAATTTCTATGTTTATAGTGGAACACTAAAAAGAATGAAAGCCTAGACCAGTAGTACTAGCGAGGGAGAGACCACCGATAATTCACCAATGGGGACTATGAAAAGAAAAGCAGTTTATCGCCTTTTTTCAAACTCCCTATCGAAAGTGTCTATTAAGACAATATTGAATAAGACCCTGAACCCCTTAACACAAAGTCAATCTCAGCACAAGAGCCTCAACCAGTCATACAACTTTTGTTAGGCAAAATTATGGAAGATAGGTACGAAGCAAGGGATGGAAGCTAGCCTTGCTCTTAGCTCTTATGATAGGTAGTACCTTACTCGTTTACTATAAGTTTCATGTTCCTAGATTGATCGAATGTAGTGCACATCTTCTTAGGTGAAATTGGCTTGGTGTTCAATGTGGGTTGTCTCCCCTATCAAAAAAAAAAAAAAAAAAAAAAAAA